GAAAGAAAGAAAGAAAGAAAGAAAGAAAGAAAGAAAAGAAAGAGCTACCCAGTCGTTCTCCACAAGACGTCATTGCCACTCAGTGACCCAGCAAAGGAGCGTGCACTGGCTTAAAGGTCTCTCTCGTTTCACCCTGGCGCTTCTTCCCATTCCTTGGCAAGTCCCATGCCTGGCCAAGAGCCATTCCATAGTGACTCCCTGCTATTCAAAAGTTGCAACTGAGGGTCCGTCCCCCTTTCTGCCACTCCCACAGTCACTGTCATTTGCAGAGAGAGGAAACAGCATCTCTTGCAGGCAGATCCAGGGCTCCTCACTGGTGTAAGTGCCCCTTGACTGACTCCACGCTACTGCACTATCTGGACTGCGCAAGGATGACCTGCTTGAACCACTTGCTCACAGCACAATCCACGCGCATCACCAAGCCAAGACCCAGGAGGAGGAAGAGGCAGCTCACCACAAAGCCCACAGCTTCGAAAAGGAACCTGCCAGCGGAATAAAGCACAGGGTGAGATCACGGCAACTGGGCAACGGATGCTTGGTGGGCCTCAGGCCTCACCATGAGCGCTCTGGTGGGGAGCACAGCAGTCTGTCACCAAAGGGGGCAGAACATGGGGAAGGGCGCTGAATCCTCTGCAGTTCGGTGGTCTGTGCTCAGGACACGCGGGACCTCCTCACATAAGCAAAGGCAGAAGGCCCCGAGGTATCACCTGAAGTTTGCAAAGCATGGGCAATGCTTGCCAGGACCCCAGAAGACGAGGCAGTCTGGCATCCTGGGGCTAACATTAGAGCCTCCATGTTCTGCAGCAGTCTCCTCTTTCCTCCACCCTTAACTGCCCAAAGCTGTGCATGCAGTAAAAGCAGAGAACTGGCAGAGCACCGTACTGATTTCTGGTCTGCTCGACTGCAACTCACCCACCCACCTGCTACCCGACCTCCAGACTCCTGCCCTGACTCTTCCTGGGCGGGTTCTGGGATTGTGGGGAGGTGGAGAATGAGCTTCCCACCACATGGCCCTAGTTTGACTTACTTTGGGGCAAATACCTTCCACACCATTAGGTGTCTCCTGAGAATCATTGCTGCCAAAACAGAAGCCAGAAGCTGTTGGGAGAGAAGGGCAGAGAGACCGGGTCAGTCCAGCAACAAGAAGAGAGCCTGGTTACCACAGGCAGCAACAGCAAAATTCACAGAGCAAAGCGGCTTTTTTCATTAGGGAATTCCAGGGTGGTCCCTGCAGCCAGCAAGGAAAGCTCCTGTAGCAAACAGGTCCCTTCACCTCACTCTGAGCTGCGGGCAGAACCCAGGTGGCACTCACGCACCTGAGCCAGCAACCTCAGGACCAAAACAAAACACGCAGAAGGGACAGGCAACTTGCGTCCCTCCCCACCACCCCACAGCAGCTCTTGCCAGTGTGACTGGCCTCAGGCAAAGGAGAGCTGGAGACCCTCCTTTGAGTCCAGGAGAGAAGGGCCATCTGGGAGACAGGAAAAATCAAGTGCCAGCAAGGAATGGCAGCCTCTGCCCAGAGAGAGAGAGAGAGACTGAGACCTTTCAGCTGCATCAGGTCATGCAGGCTGGCTGTGGCTTCTCAGGGACACAGGAACACTCTCCATCTCCACTGTGACAAAACGGACCACCTGGGTGGGTTCCCTGATCCCCTCAGCCACTCAGTTGCAACCAGATGAGACTCCCACGAGCAAACTGTTGCCACTGAATACCCACCGAGGCTTTCTCTAATGGTTGCTCCCGCACACATACCTGAAGCCCCAAAATAAGCAGGTATTTGAGGCCCAGCTGCAGCAGTGCTGCTGAAAACCGCTCTGGAGCTTCCCGGAGCCTCATCTCCATCATATGTTCCTCCCTGTCCTGGACTCGTGTCTTTGGCCTCCTGCCCCTGGCGGTGCTTGTCTCACAGACAAAGGGCCACAGGAGAAGTAACGGGCAGCCAGCTGCCTCAGGAGAGAGAGGATCCACCAACAGGCATATGTAGAAGGCCAAATAATACAGGTGCGCAAAGGAAGAATATGCAGAGAGTTGGAAAACATGGGAGGGGAAGCAGGAAATACCCCTCATCAGTTGCTTCTGTCCAAACAGTTTGAGCCCAAACTTTGGATAAACCAGGCCCCAGATTAGAGGCACCCTCCCCTTCTCTTCTGAGATAGGGCCTGGCTGAAACTTTGTCACTTGCTGTGGACACCCAGCCCTTTGAAAACACCTATGTGACTCTCCAACAAGCACCCTCCCCAGGGTTTCTCTTGACTCCCACACTCAGCTTGCCACTTGTCACAGGTGCCATTCACTCAGGATCCCATTTCTCTCTGCTGGGGAGAAAGCAGGGCTGGCTCCCAGAGGTCTCCTGAGAACCAACTAACCTGCCAGCAGGATTTGAGAGGCAAAGGTGTTGGCACCAACAAGGAGTGCGGGCAGTAGGTTGGTGGCGTGTCCCTGCTGAAATCCCACGAAGGCTGCATTCCAGTGGATGGCTGGGAAAACTGGCTGATGGCCAGTGGCATAGAAAAATTGCCCAGCAGCAAGAGCCCAAGCTACCAGGGCCTCCCACGGCACCACAAAGGGATCTGAGGAGGAGAAGGAGGAGGAGGAGGAGGAGGAGGATGAGGAGCGTCTGGCAGAGAGCCCACCCACCCCAAAGCACTTCTCTCCTTCCACGTTAACCCAGCCCAACGACCGCCACTAGTGCCAGCCACCCAGAGGGATTTGCAGCAGGAGAACCAGGAGATTCACGTTCTCCTTGTTCCTGCCTCCCTGAGGCACAGCAGTATCTCCAGCTACAGGTCAGAGTGCAGAAGCTGTCGCTAAACCTCTTTGCACACTGTAGTTACAGCTGGTCCGATGGCTGCAAGGCTCAGAAGCCCTGCCCGGAGCCTCTCCTATGGGCCGGATTTCTAGCTGCCTTTAATGCAGCCTCCTCAAAGCTGGGGGGGGTCACTCAGCATCTGGCTCTGACTCTCCTGGGTTTCCCTTAAAAAATCTCCTGGACTTGTAACTGGTGTGAATGGCATCGAGCACAGAGACTGTGTTAATTACAAGAAACGTTCCCCCCCCCACCTGGCTCCTCACCAGGTATTTCAGGCACAATTTAAGATGCGGGTTTAGCCTTTAAAATCCTAAAGAGCTTATGGCCCAACCAGCTGTGACATCACTTTACCCTCTGGGCAGGCTCACATCAAGTTAAGACACACCTGCTTCCGAAGGTCTGTCTGCTGGGCACACAGCTGCCTTTGCTCTGATGCAGACCGCCTTCTTTGGGATCCCGATGCCCACCCGTTGCTCTCCTTTCACAAAGGTTCCTCTTCAGCTAAGACTCTCGGCTTTGGCTACTCTACACTGAGTTTAACTAACTGTATTCTAAGAATTTGCTTTGTTTTTAATGGCTAGCTATCTTTCAGGCCTTCTGGACCAGGCGGCTCTTCTGGGTGCCTCGCTGCCATTTCCCAACTCACCTGTGTGTGCAGACGAAGAGAGGGCCCGGGCACAGGTGTGCATCCACAGCAGGGCGAATGCCTCCACGAACAGCAGGAGGAAGGCCAGGCTGAGGCGCTCAGCATGCAGAGTCATCAGCAGGAAGCCCAGCAAGGTCAGAGAGATAAGCAGAGCAGCCGAATACACGCTGCCCAGCCCATAGGCTGCCACAGCGGCCCGGCTGCCGTCCTCCGTTTCCTCCAGCCGGCTCTTCAGAGACTCCTGCATCCGGCGGTAGAGCTGGGGGATCAAGGCCTCAGAGCTGGGGGACACAATGGGGGGGGCTTGGCTGCCCTCTACAAATACGGTCACGGGTTTCCAGAAAACCAGGAGGAGCCCTGCCATCACCAAGCTGAAGATCCCTCGGGGGAAGACCTCCAGAGCCAGCTGAACCCAGGCATGAAGCTTGATCAGCGCCTCCTCAGCGCCAGAAGTGATGGCCCAATAACCGGCGATGCCAAGGGCCAGCAGCGGGAACCCCCACCGCACAAAGAGGACCAGGGCGCAGGGGCTGTTCAGGTTGCCGTAGTGCCGCAACCAGCGCCGGGTACCCCACGCCACGCTGGCCAGCACCACCAGACAAAGGCCATAATAGAGGTTCTTGGCCCTTGGATCCTGCACGCTGGAGAGGGGGCCCAAGATGGGGGAGGACTGGCAAGCGGGGGTCTCCTCACGGCACTTCTGAAAAAGCCCAGACAGCCGTGCACACACCACTACGGCCCCCACGGTGGCCAGCAGCTGCCAGCACAGCAGGGAGCCGTCCAGCCTGCCCTTCCACTGCAGCCTCAGCGCCTCCAGCAGCACCAGAGAGACGAGCAGGAATGGTAGCACCCGCCCCTCCGCCACCACAAAGCTGTCCGAAAGCATGGCACTGCAGCGCAACAGCAGGATCCCCAAGGGCAGCTCTGCCCCCGGCCCTGCCCAGAGCCTCAGCTTCAGGCTGAGGCCTTCGAACGGGGGGCAAAGGGCAGCAGCGTGCGAGGTTGGGGGGCGCGTGGTCCAGCAATGCCAGAAGAACCCCAGCTGCGATGCTGCTGCCCCCCAGGCAGACAGCACAATGAAGTCAGCTCTGGCCCCCCTGCAAAAGTGAGCCAGTCCTAGCAGGGCCACCCCCACCCCCCCCCAGAGCAACGGGTAGAGGAAGAAGTGGCGGCAGGAGAAGTCCATGCGAGAGGCCACCTTGGAGGCAACGTAGCACAGCAGGCAAGAAGAAGTCAGGAGCGCGCAGCCAGCCACCATGCAACCTGGGTGGAAGCGGGCCCAGGATTCAGCACACACAGCCCGGGCCTCCCGTAGGTACTGCTGGAAACGGTTTCGGAGTGCCTCCATCTGCGGCAGAACCGGAGAGGCCGCCTGGGCCGAGAGACGCTCGTGCTCCTCCGCGATGGTGCGAAACAGGCGTTGGAGGTGTTGCAGCTTCTCCGCAGGAAGGTCTTGAGCGGCCTCTGCGTAGGAATGCAGGAAGCGGTTGACCTGTCAAGGCAAAGGTTCAGTGGCTCAGAGCTCTGGAGACGCCCAGGAGTCCCCTTCAGCATTGGGGGGGAGGTTCCTCACTAAGGAAAGAGCTTCCCAAGTTCACCATGGCCACCAAAGCATCAGCTGGGAGCCAGAACCTCCCTTCTGAGGGCCAAGGAGACCCATGGGAGGGGAGCTACTCTTACCTGCCTGGCATTGATGTTGTAGGCTGCCAGCTGGGCATGGAGCGAGGAGGCAGCGTCCCCCTCGCTTCCAAAGAGGTCAGCCATCACTTCCCCAATGTTGCTATACGGCACCGGCACCCCCAACAAGAGAGCCAGTGTGGGGACCAGGTTCACCTGCGGGACCGTCTCTGGCTCCTGAGAAGGAAAGGAGAACAAACGATGGGGGGAAGATGGAAGACCCCCTGGAGGCTGTCCATTTTTCACCCAGCCTCCAGTCCTCTCATCAGCAACCGACACAGGGATCAGCCCCCTGTGCCTGCCAGAAGTTTGGCTGCTGACCTTGGTTATTCCATCAGCACCGCCAATGGCAAGGGATTCTAGGAGCATCCAGATGGCTGCGAGTAACCTGCCCTTGCCCAAGGGCAAGCCTTATCGCAGCTCCTAGTCACGCTGCCTGCCAAAAGCATTGCATGCCAGGGAGTGCCAGCTCCCTTTTGGCACGATGCTTACATTGCCTTCTGGCTCACCTCAGGGGGGAGGTCCTGGAAGAGCGGAGCCTTGCTGTACACAAAGAGGGCTGCGTCGAGTTCCTCCTCGCTGTCTCCACCATGGTCCCCAGTCCCTGTCATGCCATGGTCCCCTGCCACCAAGAGGAGCGTGTCATTTTCCAGGTGGTCAACCAATGACCTGTCCGTCAACAACACAGAACTTGAGCTGTACGCTGTTGGCCTGTGCCACCCGCAAAGCAGTCAGACTGGTGAAAATAGTCAGCGTGTGCTTTTAAAAGCAGCCACGCTGTGACTCCGCTGGCTTCGACTGCGGCTGGGTAGTGTTGCCCTGACCCGTGTTGTGCCCTGCAACAAGACCAGGGAAGCCGGCAGACCCTGCAATTCTGCCCCCCGAGGCTGGGGGGCAGGAGGGACAGTCGTGTCGAGGAGCCAAATGAAGGGCTCCCTCCCCAGCTCCAGCTCACCTGAGCATTTCATCCATCTGGGAGAGCTTCTTGGCCATTTCAGGGTGATCTGGTCCATGTTTATGGCCACAGTGATCCACGCCCAAGAAATGGGCAATCAGAAGATCCCATTCACCACCATCCACTGTGCCACAGGAAAAAAGGAACAAAGAGGTCACACAGGAAAGAGGCAACTGCCCTTTGGGGGGTGTCACGCCTCTCCTAAGGGCTGAAAGGAAGGGCGCATGTTGCCCTGAGGCCTCCTCTCCAAGGCCGTAGCAGCGCATGGATTCAACCAGGCAAGGTACCAAGTCTGTTTCTAAAGGGAGAGGAGGACCAGGATACAGAGAGGGAAGGGGGAAGAGCCAGAGGCAAGCCGAGGCCAGCGGACGCTGGGAATCTCTTTTCCGAACAGACATCCACACGATGGAGAGTTCTTCTGTTCGACGAGTGGGTGGGGGCAAGAATAGCCAAGGAAAAAGAACCTTTTCCTATTTGCGAAGCTCACGGGAACTCAGTCATCAGTTTTGGGGTTTCTGTTAAAATGCGTACTCGGCTGGCTGCCCCAGATAACCCGTTAACGGTCTGAAAGCGTTTGCTCCGTTGATTGCGTTACGAAAAGCATTACAAAGCATTTTCTTAGACGCGCGGCGGGTGGTGGCCGGCGGCTTCCCAGCTTGAGACTGGGCTCCCCGGCGGCCCCTCCCTTCTGGCCGCTGCAGCCGCTCACCTGTCCGGTACAAGTGCCGCAGGATCCCGTCGTCCACGGTGTGAAGATCTTTCACGTTGAAAGAGGGGAAGAAGAAGGCCCGGTGGAAAGCCCGCGGGAAGAGGCCGTCCCAGGTATCGTCCCCCATGAAGACCACCTTCTTCCCTGAAAGGGGAGGGAGGCCGTCGGCCAGGGCGGGAGAGGGGCCGCGGCGGCGGCGGCGAAACGGC